TTACATGTGTGAGTAGAAAAAGACTCATCCACATTCAACTAATATTTAACATCATTTTATAGCATAATGAAAACATCTTCAATTATTTCTCATAAAAAAGAAATATTACCATAAATAAACATACTACTTTGATCATTATACCCAAGAAATCGAATTAATATGTTAAATTCATCCCTGATTGCAGTCACTTAGTAATCCATGATAAAAGAAATCAATGCAAAAAATATTTATTTAAAAGATTATTCACATTACTTCGTAAACTTTTCTTTCATTACGCTTCGCTATTAATTTGACAACTTTCTTATAAGTAATTGACAGTATGCAGAACATAGTAGAAAATGAGAGGAGGCAAGACAGACACGTCCATTAAAGTCATTTTTTATTCATTTGTTTCCTTTCATTACATGACTTTCCTTTATCCTTAAGTTTCAATATATTTCGATGCATTTTAATTTTATAGAAAAAAGAATAATTTTAAGTGTTTGAAATATATCCAATTTTGAAAATTTTTTTATAAAAGAGTAGTTGTTTTTTTAATGCGATTTTTACTTATGAGAGTTCACCAATGACTGTGATTAATATTCGAAGGATAACAAAGATTCATTCATTAATTTAAAAAACAAAACCTATTTAAAAATCAATTCTTAATATTCCATAGATATTTGTTTTCAAATAAAATATTTAAAAAAGGCTAATTTTTAAATTAGATATAATACTTTAAGTCAAAGAACATTTTTTAAAAATAATTAGTATAGGTTCAAGTAAATCAAGTCGAGTTATAAGGCATCATCTAACAATGAAGTTAAATGTAAATGTGAATTTTTTCTTCTTTTGCGATTTTGTTTGTGTTCAGATTCGTTCATGAATATTTACTTTGTAGTAATGTGATTATAAATAATTACTTCAGCTAATAGTTTTTTCTATAATTAACAGTTTCATGGATGTAAGTCGGATAATTTTTTTTGACATATCAACTATCTTTAGTTTCTATTTTAGTGAGCAGATTAGTTATAGTAATTATAAAATTGGTCAATCTGATTAAATGTCGTCAGGATTGAAGGATCTGAATCTTTTATTGATTTCTCAGTATGACTTTGTAATGACAATTTCCTTCTTAGAAGTAATACTCTACAGTATGAATAGCTCGGTTCTGTCTATCTTCAATGCAAGAGAGAAAATGTCCAATCTTTGATTGCTTTCATTTCTTTTACGTTATCTATATATGTATAATGTTCAGTGTGTGTCTGTGCCAGGTTAAGGGTTAATGGTCAAATAAGGCTATCAGAGGAAGGCGCCAAAGGCTATTATATGGAGGTACCATAGGTCCTCATAGACTATCCTATGGAAATATCCATAGATCCTCATGGGCTATTATATGAGAGCACCCATGGATCCTCAAGGGTCGTCCTATAGGGTACCCATACGCCTTGAAGGATGTAAGACAATAAAGGGATAAGGCTACAAGTGGTACTGGGGACATAAGGCTAGAAGGACGTAAGGCTTCGATCTATATACATAATATCGTGTATCTGTATGTCTGTTACCGAATGAAAAGTTAAACATCGCACGGGTTCTCACTAGTGAGAAAATAATTTCAAGTTAGGGTGTAAATGTCGCTATTAATGTATGTAAATTAAAAGATGATGTTCATATCCTACACTCACAACTATAACATTGTAAAGTCCTCGCAAACTCTTAAACTATATCATAGTCTGAGACCTGTTCCACACACATATACTCCTCAACAACCCATTCTAAAATCAAAAAAATAGAAAACAAAATATTAATATAAAAAAAGAAGCTAAATCTCAAATCTACCTCAATCAAAATCCTTATTTAATTTTTACCTTATCTTCTGTAATGTGTAGAACGTTTTTAGAATTTCATCAATTCATAATATTATTATTTTTATGAAAGTCTTGTTAGTAAAATAGTATTCATAGGTCATATTCATGAAAGAAATATTGTTAACAATTGTTTTGAAGTATTTACAACTGATCGGTATATAACTTTTTCGATTAATTCACACTAGTGTCGATTCGTTCATGCTCATACCACAGATAAAAGTCTTGTTACTCAGTATACTCTCAGAGTTTTAGTTATAAAGAGCAAGAATTTGTTGATAAAACTGCAATATTCATTTTTCATGACTCTTGGAAGTTTAGATTTTTTTCTTAAAGTCAGCTGTAAATACACTAAAGCAAGTTTTGATAATCATGGATAAAAACATCAGCCCACTATACCAAGAAGTATGTTAAGTATTTGACTAGTTATTAGAGACAAAAGCACTCTGTATAATCTTAAATTTCATTGGACGAATTCTGCCTATACTGAGTAGATTGCATATCTTATAAACATTTTAAACAATCTGAGAACATCTCTTTTTTTTTACTTGAGGTCATTTTTGAGAATTTTTTTGCTTCAAATTAATAAACTTGAATAAATAAATATCTGCTCTTAGAGTATTTTCATAACTTCTAGAATTTCTAGCGAGAAAAAAATGATATTTTTTTTTTCGATATTAGAAATTATTTAGTATTATATTATTATGATAATAGTAGATTCAAATGTCATTCAGAAAATCATCGAAAAACAAACTAAATATATTTATATCATATAGGTTAAGAAATTCTACGAAAGAATTTGTAAGTTATATTACATCAATTCGATATTATTGTTCTTATTTTCATTATTGTTTTAAGAAATATGTTTAAGTATGATAATAATTTCTTTTCATTACTAAGAAAACAGATCTAAAAACAATTTAGAATTCGGAAAAATCAAAAGAAATTTTTTTGATAAAACTATAACGAGTTTTCATCATTTTAATGAAAGTCTTTTTAGTCTAATGAAACTACTTAATGTATTAAGATGATATTGTATCACAAGTATCAAACATGGCTGAGGAATGATAGTTTATGCTTAATTGAAAAAAGGATTGACTTTTATAAAAAAAAAAAGTTATACAAATAAAAGAGCAGCTTAGACACAAGTCCTAATTAATGTATTATAGAGATCGTTTTTCAACCTCTATCATGAAAAACTTAAAGTGCACACGACTTTAAGCATCTTGATATTTCGTTTCATCATTTTTTTCTTCTTTCGAACATCCTATATCATACGAAAATGAGCTGAATATCGCTGAAAGAATCGTAAGATTTCCTTTTCAAATTCTAATACTAAACTAGAACATAGAAATCTCCTTGGAATTTCATGTTAAGCAGTTTTCTCTTCCTCGACATCGAAAGCATTTCCTTACGATGTGATTTTTTTTTAAAGACTACGTTACAGAAACACTGTCTCATTTATAGTACTTTCTCGTGTATGAGAGACAAAAATCTCTTCGATAACGACGATCTTTTTTCTTTTTCGTTCATTGTAGTAATTCCTAATATTCCAGAGAAGGTGTTCTGGGTACTGATTACGATCGACATTAGTGTACTAAGCAAAGATGAACAACTACACTCTATATCTCTCCAACTCCACATAACTCCAGTCCTATTTTCTAAGATCCTACTCCAACTCCAATTTAACTTCAATTCCAGTCGGATTTTACAAAGCTAAACTTCTGCCAAAACACTTTTAAATACACATAAGTTTTTGAACATAATTAAATCTACGATTGATATAAATTAGTAGCATATTAATTTATTGCTTTATAAACTTTCTCATAAAATTTAAAGATAGACACCTCCATTCTATCCTGTTCCTACTCCATTTTCACTCTGATGAGAAAAAACATCAACTCTGGAGTTGGAATTATCCATCTCTGATATCAACCATTTCAAAATACTTACTCTTCAGATCCTCCTGAACATATCCATAACATGCGAGCTTACAGAAGACTTCTCAGAACAAGTACTACATAAGGATTATAGCATGATCCTCATAGAAGATACTCATTATTTGTAGATTTTCAGATTTTGACAGTATCTTATTTAGTCAACAAGATTCTCTTCGAGGACCCTAATACAATGGTTTGAAGATGGTGTTCATCAAAAGTTAAAAATAGCATTTTAGAACACTTTCTTTCCAAAGCCCATAAAATCCATAGATCCCAATGTTTGTCACTGGAGAGCTCCATTCGGATTGACATCCATCTTTTCAGCATTTGCAAAAGTAGAAGCCCTCTCAGATTACATAGATTCGCGTGGAATCCTCTCAACTTTGTTCAGTTTCTCCTGTATCCAAACCTTCTCATGATCTTACTCAAAGTACATCACGGTTGTTCTTCGAACAGCTTGACATAACTTATCAAAAGTCTTATAAAATTTCACCGGCATTCTCTATGCAAATACTTAGGAGATTCTTCGGCAGATCTATATTCATCATACAGAAAATCATGTATCCTTAAGGTTTCCTAAAAAACATAGTGATTAGGTTTGATATTTTGTTGTTCAACGATTCGATATTCTTCTCACAAGATACAGATAGAATCTTCTCTGATATTCATATAAATGATCATTCTACCAAAAAAGATTCTGAATTCTTACAATTCTGAAAAAAATCCTCATATCCTTATGTTTTTCTATCAAAAACTTACATAGAATTAGTATTACTCTTTCTTGGAGAACCTCCTTACAACAATCTTCAGGTGTTATTTTTATGATCAAAAAGATCTTGGCAAGAACTAGAAGTAACATAGATGTAAGAATCGTTACCAAATCCTTTTTTTCTCATAAGAAACTAGGAAAAATCTTCCGAATTTTTATCTATGGAATGAGCATTTTCAAAGACGAATGTCGTATTTCTAGCGCTTGCTCCCACGAGAGATGGAATCTCTTCAACAACGATGATTTCTTTTTTTTTCTTCGCTCATTGTAGTAATTCTGAATATTCCATACGATGCCCGATGGGCCCAGAAGGGAGTAACTGTTGCTGGAGGTCATGGAAAAGGCAGTGGCACCAGTCAACTCTACTACCCTCGGGGTCTCTTCGTTGATGATGATCAAACGATAGTCATGGCTGACTGCGACAATCATCGTATCATCCAATGGAAGATGGGTGATACGAAGGGACAAGTAGTAGCTGGTGTCAATGGCCGAGGAAATCGATTGGATCAATTGAATTGTCCAACCGATGTGTTGATCGACAAAGAGACGGATAGTCTCATTATTTGTGATCGATTGAATCGACGAGTTGTACGATGGTCTCGTCGTAGTGGTACAACTCAAGGAGAAATCCTCATCGACAACATCCGTTGTTGTGGATTGGCCATGGATGATCAGAGATATCTCTACATCTCTGACACCAAAAACCATGAAGTAAAACGATATCAAATAGGAGACAAGAATGGAACTATTGTGGCTGGTGGCAATGGCAGAGGTGTTGGTCTCAATCAACTCAACTGTCCGTACTACATCTTTGTCGATCAACAACAGACTGTCTACGTGTCAGATTGGAACAATCATCGTGTAATGAAATGGAATAAAGGTGCAAAAGAAGGAATTGTCGTCGCTGGAGGTCAAGGTAAAGGGAATGCTCTGACAAAATTGGATCGTCCTCAAGGGCTGTTCGTCGATACATTGGGTACCATCTATGTGGCAGACACGGTGAATGCTCGAGTGATGTGTTGGCCTAAAGGAGCAAAACAGGGCACTGTCATTGTGAGTGGAAATGGTTACGGAGAAGAAGAAAATCAGTTGAACCGTCCCGTTGGTTTGTCCTTCGATCGACATGGCAATCTCTATGTCGGTGATTGGGACAATCATTGTGTTCAACGCTTTTCAATCGAATAGACTCAAAACGATGAGTTTTTTTTTTTTTTGCGTTCCTTTCGTTTCAAATAAATCACATTGGATTGATGAAATGAATGGCTTATTCTATTCGCGCGCGCGACCAGGAACCATCCTGGTGGAGCCGTGGCGAGCGTAACGCTCATGCACGCACAGGACAGACTCATATCATTCATACCCTCCCCGCGAGAGATATGTCAATGAGTCTGAATAAGCCTGGTCGTGTGCCACGGACACCAAGACGATTCCTGGCCGGGTTCTTAGGGCCTACCCGGAAGGCCTGTAACTAACAGGGACCTAACCTCAATGGACATGACTCACCCACTCTCTACTAACACTCACTTTTCTTAGTCTCACCCTAACCCCTCAATCTCACTACCTATTCTCATCTCAAAGGAAAAAAGTTACTTACCGTGTCTGATGTTGATGACGCGATGATATTGATACCTGTAAAGGACAGAAAAAAAAATTTAATCAATGTTATTTAATGAAATAGAATGAGATGACTTACTCTAATGTTATCTTTTTCTTCATTGTTTATTCCCTAAAATAAAATAAAAAAATAATAAAAAGATCGAAGGAGGCCTTACCCCACCATCCTTATGATCGTAAAATAAAAAAAAATAAAAAAAAAGTAAAACTGATACCTACATTTCATTTTATTGCCTGGTTTGTTGTTGAATTGTTTCATATTGTTTGGTTGAAGCCAATCTAAAACAGAAAAGAAAAATGATTATTATTTGATTCAAAAATTTGAATGATTTTACATAGAAAATCATTCGTATATATATGTTACGGTCAAAATTCAAATTCAGTCAAATTTAAAATT